AAACATACTTCCCGCAGTACGATTCTTTTCTTCAAATGTAGAGGTCGCTCATTGCGATTTGCTCTCTCATAATCTCTTTTCCAATCAGCGAAACTAGAATAGCGCATAGCTTGGCTAGCCTCGGTTCCGTTCGTTCCCTTTAGAACTTAATTTATGAGCCCTTCCAGGCTTATGAGACTTTACAACCTATACTTTCATAATTACCGATCAGTATTGCATTGCCATTTATGACTTCATTTTTTAGATGATCAGATACGGGCAACTCTTCTGCGTCTTCAACAACAACAGCTTGTCGCTGCTGCTGCACAGGGAAAACTGGGAAAAGTGAGTACGGAACAAAGATGGATTTTATTTAAAGCGTAAGATCGCATCTATCAACTAAGAATGCTTCCAAAAGACACGTTTGGCTAGTTTTGCTATCGTGTCGTATTTAATTAATTTTTTAATTTTCAAGCTAAAAAGTTGTCAACATGACTTTGATCATTTTCAATTTGCTCACTCATCATATTGTTAATTTTCGTCACATGCGATGAATAATTTTCTTTACTAACATTCTTTTTGTTTCTTTCGTCAATAATATCGGCTTTTTCCTCAGCAGGTTCGACCTCCAACCCAGATGATTCCTTCATCAGTACAACGTCAGATGAACAAGGCAAGCTCCTCGCAACCAGAAGAGGCTGTCCATCGAGGCTCGAGAGCTGACCAGGATGGAAGCCCTACGCACATGGTAGAGCCAGGTAATGATCGCAGATTTCTCAGTTCAAATAGTTAACAAGCAATCTCATAATTTGACTAGCATACTTCTAGAGAACATTCTTTTATCGAATTTTGCTTTTTTCGGTTTCATAGGCAAGAAGCAATCTGACGAGAAAAATAGAAGTAGCACCGTTGTGTTATACTGCAGTTTCGTTTTTATTGTCCAGTATAGGCCCTGGACATTTACTCTTTCTAGATGTTCTGGATGCAGCTGCTCGAAATAACGCCGACATGCTAAAGAAAATGCAAATGCAGCATCAGTATGCAGCTATGATGAATGCGATGCAAGGTGAGAGTCATTTTCAAAGCTTTAGTGAGTTATACCGGGCCTCTCAAAATGTGCTACTACGAAGTGGCTGACGTTAAAGGAATGCTTAGACAAAACGGGATATTTTTTATTGCTTCTTACATTGCTGGCGTCGTAAGTATAGACTTTTTTGGTTTATTCGCTGGTTTTTTGATCGGGAACGGGACAACGGAAGCAGATTTGCTTTTCAAATTCCGAATGCGACCTTTCTATTTGTGACCAAATACCTTGATTCCATGACTTGTTGCGTGTGTTGATTTGTGTTTTGTTTGTGTTTACAATCAGGCTCATACATATTGAAGTAGTGTTGGCATCGATGATGATGGCTAATGAGCTTTATTAATGGTGATTTTATAGCCGTTTGTTTTGCTGTGTCCTCATGTCATGCTGGGTGCTCATTACTTAGGAGTAGCTTAGCTATTAGCTTAATGTGTGTGCTTCAATCTCTTTAACCTTCACCGCTGTATGTGGTCGTTTACTATCCTTGCAAGATCCTTTTCTCTAAAAAGTTGTATATTCTTCCCATTGAACAAAACAAACACAGTCCAGGCGACCTGATCTTGTAGTACATCCGTACCCCTCCTAATTTTCCGATATAGGCCCTTGAACAGCCCATCTTTACAATTGGAATGTAGTTTTTTTTACTGAAATATCCTCATTCGCTTTTAAGGTGGCCTTCCTATGGCGGCATGGCGCCCACCACCTCCAAATAGTAACAGTGCCGTACCTCCAAATCCTCAGGCTCAAGCTCAGATACTCATGCAAATGGCTCAGGTTCCTTCATATTCTTTGGTTGACTGAATTGCTGAAGTCAATGGTAATGTTTGTATTTTAGTCTCCGTTTTTGTTAGGGCATCATTCAGGTACAGCAACTTGCTCATGCTCAACAACAAATGCGTCTTAAACAGCAGGCTCTTGCCAAAATCATGCAACTACAAGGTCATCAACAAGCTGTTGCTGCAGCCACAGGAATGCAGGTTGGTTTAAGTTTTAACTTTTTCGATGTTGTAAGTTTTCTTGTTTGTGTGCTGTAAAAAGTAGTTTGCAAATTTAGGTCCCCAATGTAGCCGAGCGTAGTTCGCAGAGTTACCCTGGCTCGTCATCGTTTGGTGCAGCTTCTGACTTGTCCGGTCCCATTCAAAGTCCACTAGAGAAGCTACTCGCCGCAGCTGGCGTTCAACCATCGCAATTCACTGGTGGATCACAGGAAAGCAACTCGTTCCAGAGCACCTCTCAAGGAGGTGTCGGGCCGGTCGGAGCGCGCATGCCACCACCTTCTGTACGTCCGATGAGCCTCGAAGAATTGGAGCGCAAACTCACCGAGCAAACTAAGTGAGTTCGACGCGGGCCTCGTCTCCTCTGACTGCACACAGACGTAATTTCATGTTCATACCTTATTCCTAATATTGTTGTAGACTTTATTATTTTCTTGTTTTTCACTTTCTAGTTCTTTAAATCGTTGTAGATGCGCCCGGTTGTTTGGTGCATGTGTGTTTAGTTTTCTCGTGTGTGTATGCGTGTGGGTGCGTAGGTGGTTTTCTTGTGGAAGATATTTATCGTTTCTCTTTATTCTTCTTTCTCCCTGGCGTTTGCCATCTATTCATTATTATGATTGTATTCCAGTATTTCACTCAATTACTGTGTATTCGGAATCCAGAGTTGGTTTGGTTTTGTTGTGTTTACCGGGTGAGCATTGGGGGACAATACGGCGAGCAGTAGCGTCCCGTTCTGCACAAATATCACATTTATCCCTTTGCCGGTCCGGCACATGTCGCCCTTGAATAGCCATGCGACCGCTGCGGCTTAAGGATTGTATAGAATGCCTTTAGGGGTAGCATGACGCGTGATTTTCTTCCTTCTGTTCTGTGTATTTGTCCTTGTGTACTTCTGTCTCACTTCCTTCTCTATATCTGTTGCGGCCGATTTCATTAATTGGCGATTTGATCTGGTTTTCTTGCTTACCGGTGCGCGGCGGGCCAGTGTTTCGCTGTGTATTTGTGTATGTGTTTCATGTGTTGATGGTGCGCTCCGGCTATCCTCAACCCGTGTGAAAATGGGCGGAGATTCCACGCGAAACCACGCCCCCTTTTTCACTTTGCTTGGTTGTATGCCGCCGGAACTGCTGATACAAATTGTCTTGACGAAAAGTATTCGTTCTGAGCAGCCCTGTACAACGTCTCTTTCTTCTGCATTTTAGGAAGAAGTTATGAAAAGTTACGTTATTTTTAGCCAACTAGTTTGCTTTCTTAAATTCAAAGTGAAACTCGTCGCTATTATCGAGCCTTCTAAAATCACTATTAATCTTTACTACCCTAACATGTTATGCCTATCTACATTCGTACAATAAAGGATGTTTCGAAAATCAATTTGTGCTGTCTTCAAAGGAGGGTAATTGAGGTTGTCTTTAAAGATGTTGACTCTGCGAGAAATGAACTGGTTTCCAAACCAGTCGCTCTAAAATAGAGGAAATCAGATCGATACATGAAGAATAACGAATTGTATGAGTGGCGTGGGAAGTGAGTTCACTTCACTGTGGGAAAATCTGTTGTCCTTAGCAGTCCTATGAAGCTGATCAGAACCTGAGTATCGTAGCGACAGAGCGACAAACGTCGAAGGTGGCAGGATGTGCTGTTTCAGAGGGAGGCCTGTGGGAGCTTATGGTCATTCTTCTGAAACCATTGGTACACTCTGCTCTCCAATTCGTTCACACATTCGACATCATCAGGACTCGTAATGGCGCTGGACTACGGGATCAACAACCGCGTTCCGGTTCGAACTTTCAGGGTCTGGACCTGTACTTTGGCATGTGCGTCTATCAAAATCTCACCCGAACACCTCTGCCAGTGCTACCTGAACATTCCTTCCGTTATGCTTTAAATATGTATGTATTCATCTATCCATACCCAAACCGTGCAGGTATACGGTTATACATCAAGGTCTGTATGGGCCAAAATTGTCCGCTCGTTCAACGGTTGTTCTTAAGATTGTTAAAGCAAAATTCCTCCGGCCTTTCAAACACACCAGCTACCAACAGCGTGAGCGGACTACAAAACTCGTATCGTTTTGGTAAAGTATAGGAAATTTTCGAAAATGCGAAATCGAGCGGTTCTCGAATGTGTGTAATATAAGATAAGGTCTTTCGTATTACTCACTCCTTTTTGGAATGCGCCATGCACTTGAGTTCTTGTCAACATTGTATAGTAGTAAAATATTGAATATGTAGAACTTTCTTCAGAGATGACTAGCCCGTCGTTTGTTGATCTAAGACAGTAGCGAGTGCCAGTGAACCCATTAGACAGCCACGGTCAACCCTCTTATCACTTGGAACGCTATTGATTGATAGCAGCTTCGTCACCTCGTAACTACTTTATTGCTTTTTGTTATTGATTTTTATTTTTTATTTCATTCACCTCTGAACCCAGCCTCATCACTTTCTCAGCTTGGCGATCATTGAAAGCTCACATAATTTCCATCTCCCATGAATCTTGGGTCATCGTTTTTCGAAAGCTTTCAATTAGCAAAAACGGGATCATGCTCCCTTCGTCTATCTGTCCTTCAAAAACTCCGAAAACTTCAGAAACTTAGCAAAAAAATTAACGAATATTACGCTCATTATGTTAAATGGCAGCCTTGAAGGGAACACTACTGAAGGGCCCTACTTTCGTCGGCGCTGTATCCTTTCTTCTTGGAAACGGGAAAGACCTGGAAAAGGGTGAAAACTACGCGACAACCTTCATTCAACTGTAAGCTATGCAGTCGACTTACAGCTTGAAAACACTGAAACATCCAAGAGCTAGGCTACTTTGTAAGGGAAGGAAAAAAATCGAGCTCGAAATCAGCCGTGCCACTACTCCGGTAAAAGATAATTTGATTATTCAATGCTCGCGTTGGCATTTGGCGGATGCGTTGCAGTGGCAAGTGGCGCACTGTCCTACACGCACTACTCGGAGATCGATTCCGGGCTCGGTACTCATTTATAGTGGGCGCCTATTGTTCCGGAATCCTCCCCGAATCCCCACTGCAAGCGACAGAGGTCACGCGGCGGCTACCCTATCCTTGCACTAGGGAATCAATCCTTTCCCTACAAAGCGCGCGACTGCGCGCGATCGGGTGCGGCTAACGTGACGCCGTTTTCGGGGAGAAGATACCGCGCCCTTACCATGATGAACTGTAAGGGAAAATGATCTTTCTCACATGAAAGCACATTCCGAGCCACGGGGCGTGTAGAATATAACTAGGCTTAAAAACAGCTCACCTAACGGCAATTCACTTGAAGTTAATCAGTTGGTCGACTGGGAACACACTTCATGACCAGTTCAAAACGTTGCGTGATACCTGACGTGAGCCCTGCTGATGCGGCAAAATGTCAAATTATCTTTAACTGACATTTTTATACATCGACCATCCCTCGAGATTTACATTGCCTTTGCAGTTCCACAGAAAAGATTTTTATTCACTAATTGATTTTTATTCGCTAGTAGATTTTTACCATTCAGCCATGGCACGTGACAAGCACTTGCCCACAGCAGATACTTTCGATGGTTCCCTGCCTCCATGGCTCTATGATTTTTCAAATTCTAAGCTCTTATCGTCTCGTTGTTGAAACCTTTGGATCGTATCAATCCTGGAGCCAAATCCACTGCTGATAGAGCAAACAAAATTGAAATGCATTTGATCCCACACCACTTCTATTCATTGACAATTTCTTCAAATTCCTTTAGTATCTCAGAGCGAAAAGCGGTCCCCTCCTACAAAGTTGCGCTACCAAAGGGCACGTCATATTGAATATTCCTCCTTTATAGGTCCCTGTGATTCTCTGAAGTGTAATCCCTATTGAATCGTCCTAGACAAGCAGCAGAATTTCAGAAGCTCATCTACACTGACTCGACTTTCCATCAGTATTTAACCCTCGGAATATCGTCCCTCGAACTTTCTGATCCCAAAGCGAGGCGCTGCAGGAAGGACTTAGAACCTTAGGGGAAAGTAAAGCTTTCCAGTGGTATCGTTGTCAAAATCCATGTTACTAATCAAATCTAAGAAATGCAATTTTCGCGGCCCCGTATGATCAGAAGTCTTTTCTTGATGTACCTTTAAGTCGTGTTCCAGAGATGGATCTTATCCATCAGGCAAAGCTATTCCTATGCAATCAGTTTTGAAGTTATAATTGTTTTCGTATGAACACATGCGGCTTGAGCGTGTTCGAAACTTGAGAAATTGGCTTCTGTTCTCTAGTTGCTCTGTTAGGGATGCTCACACATTTATCCAAAAATAATGTGCTTTTCAGGTTTGACTCGAACCTATTGGGCCCCTTTAAGCGATCACAATCAGAGTCCTGTAAGAATGTGGCGGCTATTTCTAACAGTCTCGACAGCTTGTGCCTGTTCCCTTTGTCCTCTGAGAGTTCCACCGCGACCGCGGCCTCTGGACCAGTACAAACTACCATCTATACCGCACCTGAACCTTGAAACCATGCCACAGTTTTGTGAGGATTTTACTCAGTCAACTTGCTTGTTATTGGGTAGAATTTCTGCTTTTTTTTCTTCTGTCTAAATAGAATTTCAGGTAATTTTTCACGTCAGCTAGAGGTTGATGAACAATGTAGAACTGGTTTCGAAGAGTTATTTTGCAGTACCGATGACAGCTTAGGTGAGGAATTTCGATTCCGGCAATGATGTAATCGAAAAAATGGCTCCACTGCTTTTCAACAGTATAAGCAAGGAAAGAAGGGTTTCGTGGCAACTTTGGTATCTTTAAATGCTTTCACTGGGAGTCACCCGATCATATGACAATCACGTATGGAGGATATAAACATCCTCCATACCTGATTGTTAATCAGGAAATGGCCCTCTAAAGGGTAGCATCAGTTTATTAGGATAAGATTCGAAGAGCCACTAGTCGATCCTCTGGTAAGCCATCAACAGCTAGAGCACAATGTTGAACTAGAAGTTGTATGGGCTCCAATTCTGCTTATGAAGTCCAGTTCATACTAAAATTGTTCTCGAAATATCCCTAGGATGAATGCCTACTTCCCCTATATTATACGTGGCCCTGCCATACCGGAAAAAAGCCTGGATAAAGCAATGTAAGAGTTCAAAGACCGCATCGGCTGTATGTCACACCCAAAATCAGACGAGTTTCAACAGTGTTGCAGGGCTATGTTTACGAGAGACACCCATGTTGGAAATTCAAACAACTAGTCGTGACCCATGGCGACGAAGAAAGGCAATTTTGGACATTTTCGGCACAATGTAGACAATTCTTTTGCAACAGTTGAAATATCACCCAAATATCCCTTCTACGCCACTTCTGATGGTGATCTTTATCTTCAACATTTTTGGGGAGCCGCTTTTCCTCTTTCCCGCGAAGCCGGAAGATTTTGGCTTTCTTCGAAGCCAAGGAACTATTCTACCATTTTTCAACCTATGAAGGATGTCTCTAATTATCATAAACTGCGGCTTTAAGTAGGAATGCTGCTGTAAATTTATTCTCATGACCCAAGAAAAAGTACAAGCAGATGTACCTTCAGTTCTACTGACGATGCCACCTTCTAAAAAGTTACTCGAGTACGGGCCCGAGGACGTAGCTTTGTCCACAAATCGCTGACCTTATAGGAATTACTTGATTACTTACTATTACTCTAATTTCTTCTAATTAAATCTATGTAGTCAAATCAGAAGCACGATTTGGATAAGATAAGAAATGTTGTGCATTGATTCAGATGCCCTCTTCTGTTCGGGACAAAGTGAAAGCTCAGATCGCTGTTCAGAATGTGCCCATAAATGGGAATCCAACAAATGGGTCATTTCATGTCAGTTACTCTTAATGTTGTTATATTATACTATGAATGATTTTTGATAGATTACTCCAGATAGTTCTAAATAAGTATTGCGATTACTCAAGAAATGATAATTGAAGAGCTTTTACGGGTGTCCTTGGAAATGTCAGAAGAACTCCAACAAAACGTAATCTTAAAATTCTAGTTGCCCGAAAATAAATTCAGGGTGGGACTCTCTCGGAAAGCCTGCAGCTGGAGTCAGTGACGGCAACTACTATTGGCTTGGTGACTACGAGCTGTGCACAAAGTTACGAAGGTACTGTTTACTATGCACTTCGCCTTGCCTGTTTATTCGGGTGTGGTGCATTAGGAACGAAATGGTCGCGTCGCGGTGAGAGGGATGTCGCGCGCGAAAGAATGCAAGTACTAATAGTAGAATTATGCATAAAATAATGATCGCATATCGAATGAGCTGTATGAAGAACGCTGGAGCTGCAATAACGACGAATGAGTGGTCCGCGATAGCCGCGTGCGGCAAGTCGATTACCCAAAATCGTTCCTAAAGCCCGTCTCCCGTCTCCGCAAAAGAAGAACTTGAAAAGAAAGAATAACACATTTTTTCTTTTCAAGTTCTTCTTTTGCGTTTTTTCAACTAACCTTACCTGTATATTGCGGATTACTTGGATTTTGCATTTTCGAAATTACTATGTAATAAATATTTTTCACGTGACTTCTGCCGGAGAAAAAAAGTTAAGTTGCAACCTTTCTGAAGCATTGGCGCGGGACCAGAGGAAAATCTAACTTTGGAGTTGAAGGCTGAGTACTAGCATGACGTCCTAAATAAGCCACGACCTTTATTTCGAGAAATGAAGTCACTTCAACAAATATCCACAATTTCTTCTTGATTTTCCAGTTCTTACGCTTTTCTTCTCTCTTCCTGCCCCAAAAGCCTGTGAGGAGGGAGAAAAAGTTCTTTGTTTTTCGACAATTTTTATTCCGCTTTTTTCTGGAAGTGTTGAATACTTACTTAAGAGATGGCAAATTTGATGGGCGATACTGTAGAGTGGAGCTGGAAATCCCTGATGCACTGGTATGCCTTTGACTTTTTTTGAGTTTTTTTTTGTGTGGTTCATGTACTGGTCTGCCTCTGCAGGTCGAAGAGGGTTGCCCACAAACTGACCCACTGGCCATTGTTCTTGGTGTTTGCATGCCGAGTTCTTGTACCGATGATCAACTTCATCAGCTGATTCAAGGTAGTTTTAACAAATTTCCGCTGATAAGTTCACTTTTCTCTGTATGGAACGCCACTACTCGGAATGCGCTACATATATGTACAGTCTCCAGTGCAAAATTGCTGGAATCCCTCGAACAGAGATTAGTCGGTAAAATTACTTTGAGAGCAATGGTAGGAGGCGTCCTTAGAATGTGCTCGAATAAGAGATTAAAGGATATTTATAACACCGAGAGATTTTTAATATTCCTAAACAGTTTGTAAGTACCAGGGAGTAGGTTCATCTAGTTTTGTTCATTTTTGATTGTTTTTTGCCATTCCAAAGCCAAAAGGGAAAGGGCCTTTTAGAGTAGAGCGAAGAGCGCCAAGAGGGGCGCACGTGGCGTAAACGTGCACCGCTGGTTTTTGCGTTGGAGCATGTAATTTTCCAACAGGGCTGCGCAGCTCACACATAATAATATGGTTTCGTCACGTTGTACCCTACGTGAATGTGGGAAAAAGGATCATCATGTACTAATGGAAATTTGTGAGAAGTTAAATACATGACCCTAAAAAAGTAAATCAAGAAATTTTAACCGTCGACCCGCGCGTACTGATCAACCACCGGCGTTTCCAAGGTGTGGTGCAAAAGGAACGAAATTGTCGCGTCGCAGAAGGAGAGACCTCGCCCGCGAACGAATGTAGCAGAATGCAGCAGCAAGTGAGAAATACAGGAACAAAAGAACGAACTTTAGAATCATGTCAAAAGTAACAATCGCATAGCGATTGAGCTGTAAGAAGAACGCTAGAACTGTAATAGCGAGGCTAATGGTCGGCGACAGCCGCGTGCGGCAGATCGATTACACAAAACCGTTCTTACTGTCCGTCTCTAGCGCTGCCAACAGAGCGAGCGTCACCAGCGCGTCACGCTCAGCGCTCTACTCTCAACGTTCTACTCTGCAATAAGCCAAACAAGGGCTAATCAAAGATTTCAAGACTTTCTGCAACATTTTCACTTCCAGATTATTCGCCATACAAGTCCGTCATCGATTGTGAGTTGGATGTTCATCTTTCGACTTCAGCTCTCATCATGTTGTAAGTGATATTGTGCAATATAAGAGGATAAATTAGTATCATTGTTACTATTAAATAGGCTAAAATATAAATACTGCTGTAAAGCGAAAAAAAAATCGGAGAATGATTGTTTAATGACTATTCCTTTCAATTCTTCACGAAATTTTGTGAGAAAAAACTTCACTGGAAGGTTTCTGAAGGGGTCTCCATTAACAGAAATTGCAGATGACGCGTTCTATCGCGTGTAGTCTGACCTAAAATAGCACTTTGCCGCATCCGGGGGACGGTACGAACGTGCGTCCGAGGGTGCGCGCGGCAAATTGCGCGGCGAAGTTCGTGACGATTTGTACGACTCTGACGCCAACTTTCGGGGCACAAACTCGAAGTAGTGTAGTTTGGTAGGGTCAGATGCTTCCTCCTAATCTACTCTATTTCAAATTTGAGCTCAAATGATAGGCGCTCAAGTCATTCAAATAGTTACGAACTTGACCGCGCAATTTGCCGCGCGCATCCTCGGACGCACGTTCGTACACATACCCGCCGCATCCTGACCTAATGGCACACGTTAACACCGCTCGTTTCCTGACATTTTTGATTGTGACCGCATTTTTTGGCGTAATAAAAGTAAATGATGTAATAAATAAATACTTTAAGAGGTGCGATATGTTTTTGGCTAACACTACAAATACTCGTCACTGTGCTTGACTTACAGTCGTCTTTTTGGATGAGCCTCAACATCAAAATCAACGCCAGTCGAGCACTTTCAACTAAACGGTCTGTCGTTTTGCACTTTTCATTGAATTCTCTGGCATTATTTATAGATACAAGAAAATAGGGAGTGATTATCTCTCGAATATTATTTTTAATTTTTGAGTGCTCCGCAGAATCTTCATGCACTTCATGGTCTTGAATTCATCACATTCATTTGGCTGGTTACAGCGATGGTCTATAATTTTATGCAACCTTACATTGGTAAGTAGTTTTGATATCGTAATCAGTATTTTTTACTGTGAGCTCGATTTCATCAATATATTAGGTTGAGTAGAAAGTTTTGATCGGGTTTTCATCTTTTTTTGAAAAAGTCTTATTTTCATTGGAGGAGAATCTCAATCAGTAATATTTTCGATTCCCGAAGCCCAGAACTGTGGCAGCCGCGATCCAAAAAAGCTGGAAATCCCAGTTTTGCGTTCCGAGTGATCAATGAATTTTCTATCGCGAATACGATACTTCAAGCAAGAAACAAGTGGTGATCGGACGGAGCAAGATCTGGCGAATAAGAAGGATGGGGCAGCACTTCTCATCCAGGTTCGACAATTTTCTAACGAGACAATTTCGCAACATGCGGTCGAGCGTTGTCGTAAGGGAGGCAAACATCATCATTACGGATGCTTCCTTCGGATAAAGTCGGCCAAACTTTGTAGCTGAGAAGTGTAGATGTCGGCAGTCACGGTGGTACCCTCAGGAATTTATTTGAAATCGAGCATGCCTTAGGAATCCCATCAACAGCTTAGCAAAACATTCCTCGTTGTCCACTTCTCCTCTGTCTTGAAGGTGGTTCCTCACTAGGCATCCATTGGCGATGTCACTTATGCTTCACATAAAGGACCCAGCTCTCCTATTCATCTCATTGAGAACTCTCTCCTGTGTGAACGAAGAAGCAAAGAGGTGCACACACTGATCCATGATGCTTTGTCCGAGTCGTTCAAACCGTGTGGTACCCATCTTGAGAGTATATCGCGGCAGCCGAAGCCGTGGAGATGGTTGACGAGTTTTCTGACTGCACCCGAGTGACAAACTCAAATAATGAGTAGTAGTTGTTGCCTTCTCCATTAAAGCAGTGTGCAAAGTTTCGTCATTCAAGGCAGGGGAACGTCCGTTTTCTTTGAATGCGCCACAGATATTTCCGACAGCCGTCGATAGATTATGGCCTTGCAGAAATTCGTAATAGACGATAGCTCTTACAATCAGACAGCTTCGGTCGACTGAGGTCACTATTGCGAAACACTTGCAAGGACATGCTTATATATGCCCCCCTCCCCAGTACAGGTCCGCCGACGATCTACCATAACCTATTACGAAATCCTTCCAAGTGGCCCTACAAAAAGATCTATAGTAAAGGATGAAAATTCCGATCAAAACTCTTTACTCAACCTAATAATAATTGCCAGTCCAGCGATTCCCTCTTCACTCTCTGTCGAGTTCCATTACAAAATGTACAGCGTGACCCACATGAAGTGTGACGG